CTAGAACTCACAGAGATCCGCCTGCCTCTGCCTCCCGAGTGCTGGGATTAAAGGTGTGTGCCACTACTGCCTGGTCAGTTTTCTTTTTTAATGGAGTGTCTCCTACCCCTTTTCATACTTAGTGATTGAACCCAGGGCATTGTGCTTGCTAGACAAGTATTTTGCCTATAGCTGGACTAAATCTCCAACATCTCTGCCCCTTCTTTAGATTTATTTTGCGTGTATGAGTGTTTTGAATGAATGTATGTTTGTGTACCACATGTGTGTCTGGTGTCTATGGAGGTCAGAAGGTGTCTAATCCCCTGGAATTGCATTAGCCATCATGTGGGTGCTGGGATGGGAACTGAAATCAGGTCTTCTGTCAGAGCAGTAAGTATTCTTACCTACTCAGTCACCCTTCCCGCCCCTTGTTTTTATGTTTGTGACAAGAGTCTCACTCTTTAGCCCTTATTGGCTCAGAGCTCTAGACAGTCTTATTGGCTCAAAGCTGGGATGACAGGCTTTATCCTTTTATTGCATCTACTGAGGCTGTTTCCTTTCCTGTGATCTACAAGGTGTAGATTTCCACAACGGTTTTTGGGAAGTACTGTTGTATGATAGAAGAAAGGTTTTCAGAAGACACTAGTGTGGTGAGCAAATCCTCTACAAAGCTTCTCATGGCTTCTCTGTTTCTATAGATCCAGCATGTCTGGCTTGCACCTAGTAAAACAAGGTCGAGACAGAAAGAAAATAGACTCTCAGCGAGATTTCACTGTGGCTTCTCCAGCAGAATTTGTTACTCGTTTTGGGGGAAATAAAGTGATTGAGAAGGTAAGGTTCAGCTTACTAAACAATTTTGCCTAAAGTATATGAGACTTAATGCCTAGATTTGTTGTTTTGGTTTGTTCAAAATGGTATTTAGGTTTTTAGGGACTTTGCCTTTTTATGTATGAGTGTCCTTCTTTTTTCCCTAACATGCTACTAATACACATAATTTCACAGTTTACTTATTATATATCTCATATATTTATTAATATATATATTAATGCTGGTAATTTGGTCATAGTTGATAAGGGGTTGAAACTCTGCTTGTAATGTTCTTTTGAAAGATCTTGTGGAAATTGCATTAATTAAATCACTGCTTGGCCCATTAGTTCTAGCTAATTCTTCTTATCGGCTAACTCTCACATGTTGATTTAACCCATTTCTATTAATCTGTATATCTCCATGTGGCAGTGGCTTATCAGGAAAGATTCAGCATGTCTGTCTTTGGCGGCTCCATGGCGTTCCTCTCCTCCTCTGCCTTTCTTCCTTCCAGCATTCAATTCTATTTTCCCCGCCTACCTAAGTTCTGCCCTATCAACTAGGCTAAGGCAGTTTCTTTATTCATTAACCAATGAAAGCAATATATGGACAGGAGGACCTCCTACACCAAGCACATGTTGAAATATTTGCATAGCAATCATTTAGAAATATTGCTTGATCTTGTAAGAGTTGTTTCTCAGCAGTTTAGACTATCTACAGTTTTTGCTTGAAATTCTTTTTCAGACAAAGAGATGTGTAAAAATCTTTGTTTTTCTATCATTGCCTTTCTTTGCTATATTTTCCTTCATTTTCCATATGATATCCTTTCCTCCTAGGTTCTTATTGCCAATAATGGTATTGCCGCAGTGAAATGCATGAGATCTATTCGTCGGTGGTCTTATGAAATGTTTCGAAATGAACGTGCAATTCGATTTGTCGTCATGGTTACACCTGAAGACCTTAAAGCCAATGCAGGTGAGTTTCTAGCTTTATGTCACTTTAGATATAAAACATTGAATAGATCTGCCTGTAAGTAGGAGAATGTTACCTTAGGGAGTTTCCCAAGCCCAAGATTGCCAGTGAAATTCTATGCAAAGATTTCTCTTTTAAAAAGGTGTCAGTTAAAAAAAGAAAAACCACGTAATAAAATATATCAATACTAGAGGCACAAAAGTGACTACACAAAGGTCCCTGTGGTCTGAGGTAAGTAGTGAAAAATTTAAAAACAAGTATTTGGACTAAAAGGTGTATGACTTTTTCAGTATGAGGTATTTGTTAGGTCATGTATGTTAGTGTGTCTAATTGAAAATGTTGGGATGGAAATACATGGAATTAGAGAACATTTTACCTTTTTTTTTTTTTTGAGACAGGGTTTTTCTGTGTATCTTTGACTATCCTAGAACTCACAGAGATCCGCCTGCCTCTGCCTCC